ATCCTCTCCTGTTTGAAGCAACAAATAACAACCGGCAGTGACAGGTAGTCTCTGAAAACGTGAGAAAGATAAGCCTCCACCAAATCATTTCCAGCCTCCGTGCTTCCTGTTTTTTTTAATTTTTGGCGACTTTGGTTACGTAAGAGATTAAATGTGTGTGTGAAGGTGGTCGGAGATGTTTGGAGCGGGCAGTCTGGTTAGCAGGAATTAGTGTTCCCGTCCGTCTGTACACACAGCAGCATGTGGCTGAAGGCTGAGGGCTGAAGGCTGAAGGCTGGGGAAGCTCCGACCGACCGACCGTCCTACCGGAGAAGCGGCTCCATGTCAAAATGCCAACCTTCTCAGTCATGTATAAAGGAGCTGTCATCATTAGCAGGTAAAATGAAGAGACTGGAGGTGTGTCTGACAATGCTGTATGCTACTTTTGTTGAGTGTAGTGGCGGCGGCGGAGTGGTTGATGTTTACGGCTTTTGTTTGTAGAACAAGTGAAATCTACACTCGAGGTTTGTGTGTGTGGAAAAAAACGTAGCGTTTAATTGAAGATAAGCAATGAACTCAGTCATTCGGTAAAACGTGGTGTTGCGTTTAATTCTGTTTGAAAATGGAGGTTAATGTCGAAATATATTCCCTGCAGGTGTTCAGGGGAGAAATGTGTATCAACACGTAGGTAGAACAGCCTGGTTAAAGCTGGGGAGCGTGGTTTTTTTCTGGTGTTATTTCTGTAACATTCCACGGGATAAGATAGACCCCTCCATCTGTCGTCTCGTGCGCCGGGCGCAACGAGTGATGGTTGTATTTAAAACAACGACTGTTTAATTGGAGACTGCATTGATTTATAGGCCAATGTTCTGTAACAAAAAGTTCCTCTAATGATGTACTTCTACACATAAAGGGTTGTAACGTCGAAAAAACAAACCGAATGAACGTGTGAGAAGTCCGGATAACGGCAAGCTACCTCGCGGTGATGGACTCGGTGGCTGTTTGAGGGGCAGGGGCAAAAAAATAAAAAGGGCACCATAACACAAAGTTGGGATGTATCTATGATCAAACAGTTTAACCAGGTTTAGAATGAACACCCTAAAGCATACTTAAGACATTTTTCGTCCGCTGGAAGGGCACCCTAGAGGGCACTTTATTGGGTTTTCTCCCAACCTTTTTCTATAAGGGACCCCCTTTTTTTTTATCATTGAGTAAACTGACGACCTCTGAATAAGTGACATATTTTATGGATATTTCATTTTCTATTTAAAACCATACCATTAACCCAAATAGTGAAGTCTGTAACTACAAGAAGCTTGCATTTTGCATTTTGAGCAGATCCTTTCCTGTTCAGGGAATTTTGTATGCAATTCTGTCTGTAGTATGTATTTTTTCTATAACATAATACATATATACTAACTATAACTAATAGGATTCTCTCTCTCTCTCTCTTTTGTTTTTATGAATTCAGTGCTTTCTTCTCCCTGACGCTTGGCCATTGTGCTATTAGACAATTTGTCTAACATGTGCTTTTCTTCACAGAAGTGAACCAAATGCTGGGATATAGGCCTGTGTATATTTAAAATCTTTTCTTATACATCTTAAAATCAAGAACACCTTGTGACACCTCCTGAGGCTTTGGGACCCCTAGTGGGGGTCCCGACCCCAAGGTTGGGAACCACTTTATATTTTTTTGTCCACTGGATAGGCACCATAGAGGGGGCTTTATCATGGTTTATACTTTAGGTGCATCCAAGAGGGGACTTTTGCAGCTTTTTTCCGTTTGAACACAAGAGGGTCACCCCCTCTAAAAGGCTAATGGACCTCTGGGGCTATCTTCTCTCCTGTTATGATCATGTTTTAGCTAGCTCCAGTCTTCAGTTCTGATGGTGAGCCTATAAACAGTGTATAAACAGCTAGAGCTGCAACAATTAGTTGATTAATCAATCAGTTGTCAACTATTACATTATTCACCAAATATTTTGATAAGCCATTAATCAATTTGAGTTATTTTATTAAGAGAGAAAATGATCTGATTCCAGCTTCTGAAATGTGAATATTTTCTGGTGTCTTTACTCCTTTATGACAGTAAACTGAATATCTTTGGGTTGTGGACACAGGTCATCTTCAGTAGTGTGAATAATGCTTCACACTTCTCCCTGTCCTCAGACGTTATCAATAGTACATTCTGCTGCTGCCTGTGGTTTCATTTGAAGCTCAGTGTGTCCACAGTTACCCTTGCTGTTTCACTGACAGCAGCAGGAGTGTCAGGTTGGTACTGAGGAACCCAGTGCAGCTGAAATATTGATAATCCTGCTCGTTGTTCAGGTGGCAGCCACACAGCGAACTGCTGAGAAGACATTGTTCCAGATTCCCATTGTTGCTAATGCTATTTAGAGGTAAACAACAGATATAAATGTGCATTAGTTTATCTTGTTAATATTTAACACCATATTTTTGTGAGTTCAGTCTGAGCAAATTATGTTAAATCAAATGGCTGCTTGAGCCAATGTTAGAAGGATTAGGAATAAGAAAACCAGAGTGGGTACTTGTGCAGCACTGTTACCTAATACTATAATAATTTCTGCCAACCTCATCTCTGAGAGATTATCCACAGTACAGTCTGTGAGCACTGACCACGACGCTTTTTAATGACTGTCGTCTTATTCCAACTCACTTAACTGTTGCTGACTCCCTATGGCTTAGTTTGTATAGAAATCAAAGGAAAGGTCACATAATTACCTTCCACAATACATCCTATCCAACTATGTCTGTCTTCAGTTCAAATCTGAATAGCTTGAAATATCTTAAACTCTGTAAACTATTCCTTAAATTGGTGGTGTCTGTGTATCCCAGGGGGGTACTTCTGCAGTTGCTGGGGAGTATGTGAAATGATTTGTGGAGTGACTCAACTAATTTAAAAATGACAATTTCATTAAAAAATATTCAACTTAACAGCAGCTGTGCGTCTGAAGAAAAGGTTGGGAACCACTGGCTCAGAACTGGTTCACCCATCAGCAGGGCGACATTGTTTAGAAATGGCTAGTACAGTTAGTGACTACTAACGACTATCCAACATCGACTGGGACTCCTCTCAGTGAACAAAAATCACCCAAAAAAATCCACTGATTTTCCACATCAAAGTGTGTTCACAGGTGTTGGGGTGTACTACTGCATATGTGTAAAAAAAGTTCCCAGAGGGAGTTGTGTGAAGTCTGATAAATGTCCTCAAGTGATGCCACTTGAGTCAATGTTGGTTGGGGTTGAAGACTGCAAGTTTTAAAGTTAGAAAGAAGTGAGATTACCAGACCTCTGTAACTGCTCCTCATATCTGCTGCAGGCAAGCATTATCTGCTACTAGCACCACATACCTGAATCTCCGACCCAACTCTTGGGTGTCAAGTTGCATTGTGGGTAATGAAGGCACCAGGTTTAGTAAAATAATTCCTACAATTAAACAAATTAGGATATCTCTGGGTCTACTGCATTGATTTCTTTTACAGGTCCAGTGTGTAGCATGCAGCAGAAATGGAAGATATAATTCATAGCTATGTTTTTATTAGTGTATAATCACCTGAAAAAAGGAATTGACAAACACTGGCTCTAGATGGGGCTTTTAAAGCTATTTGTTAGTTTCGCAGCCATTGCAGTTTTAGTAATTTAGTCTCTTTATTTATAGATTAATAAATTAATGTGTAAACACATTTATTATTGCCTATTTTTATTGTAAGTTACTTATTAATTAATGAAATGCTTTATTATTATTTACACTTGTGGTCCTCCATTCTGTTGTCAACTATACATAGTACCATTAGCAAACTTCTAGCTCCATATAGGAACTAGTATACTAGAACCATGTATATTAACACGCAACATTCAACATTCATTTGTATTCAATATTGGGTCATATTATTTTAAATAAATAGTCTTGATACACACAGACAGGATAAGTATCCACAGGAAAATATTGTGCCCATGTGTAAAATATCACACAGTACAAGGTTACATAGAGACATTATATTTGATATGTTGGTTGATTATATTACACATATTCTATGTTACCTAGAGGTAAATGCTAGCTCACAAACAAACTCCATATGAGATTCTTCCAAGAATAAAAATTCCAGCCAAGATACTGTATCTCTGGATTCTGTGAAGTCAGTGAAAGATGTGACGAAGAGCATATTTACTTGTGCTAAATAAAAGTATGTAGGGATGAGACCTAGCAGAGAGATAGATAGATGTGTCATTTTTGGATGGATTGGTGTCTGAGGTGGCAGCAGTAGACACTTCTTATTATACACAGCTGCAAACGGAATGTATGTTTTCCAGCCAGCGTTCAATTTTTGGATGCTCTGTTTAAAAATGTACACGGAGGGGTCACATGCTTTGAATCTTACAGTCTGTCTCGCATCTAAGGTATATATTTGCACCTCTCAGCAAGTACTGGCTGATAGTATCAACAAGTCGGTAGTCTCACCAAAAACACGACATGTCTAAAACAGTCAAGAAAACTAAAACTTGTGTCACCCAGCTGCAACATTCTGGACTAGTCAACAGCTGTGTCCCAACTCCATACTACATGCTAGTTGTATACAGGATATACTCTTCACTAATCATTACACATACAATATAATATTAAAGTAAAAATGCAAAATAAAATCCATATCAGCTTATTATACTCTTCGTAAATACAATGGTCACATGTATTTATCAGTGAATGGAAGATCTGTCTTTTCAAAGGAAACATCTGCTGCACTTTCCAAGGTACACTCTTTGTCTTTCATGGCTGGTCTAAGGAACATGGTCTGTAAGTCAGTCTATGAGACAGACATAAGTCTCTGTGTTCTTCACAAAGTCAAATGCTAGTCAAGCACTCCTTCATGTTGAGTCGCTGTAGTCTGTGTATCTTTGGATCTAATGTGTGAAAGGAAAATATGTGGAATTGAGCTCTCAAAGTTTACTTATGTTTCCCTCTTTTGTCTCTGTCTTCACCCTCTTCATCTCTCCATCTCTAACAGGACACTAATGGGTCCATACGGAGTAGACCGAGCTGTTCATTCCATGGAGTTTACAGACTGTGAGAACGGCCTGGGTAAGTGTTTTTGTTTCTCCTCTGTGACTATGGATAGAAGGCAATACTTCTGCCCCAGCACAGATGTCTCAAAGCAAACATCTGGGAAGAGGAATGGAAGCTTCCGCTGTCGTACCACGAGGCTTAAAGATAGCTTCTTCCGTCAGGCTGTGAGACTGCTAAATTCATCCTCAGCACAAATTAGTACTTTTTTTATTGTTATGACTTAATCAATTTTTGTTTTGTTTTAGAAGTAGCATAAAAGGAACTATATCTGAATTATCTGCGTTGTAAATAACCTTGAATCTGGGGAGAATGTGTAAACTCTATCTTATGAAACACTTAACCTACATTATAAATTATTTCAGAACTTGTCACATTCACCCATTCACACACACACATTCATACACTGCAAGCAGAAGCTGCCAACCTACTCATCAGGAGCAATACAGGGCTTCCTATCCAAAGCACTCACGATGATACTAAGCTCATGAGGAGCAATTTGGGGTTCAGTATTTTGACCAAGGACACTTGAACTGCACCGGGAGAGCCGGGAATCAAACCGTGTGTGATTACTGGAAGTTTGCTCTACCACCTGAACTACAGTCGTCCCAGCCTAGCCCCTGGAAACCCACAAATCTTCCTCGAATGACTAAAACATCTTGAATTTGGCAAAAAAAAAAGAGGGACTGTATGACCAAATACTACTGTTGGCCTGTATGTCATCCTCAAACTAAAATGTATATCTCTGCATCTACAAATGAAACAAATAACCTAAAAAAATACAGGTCTTAATATCTACTTTAAAAATTCAAGACAAGACAGTGTGACAGGATCTGGTGGGACGAGGTCCTAAATACATGGTTGAAGCTTTTAATAAGGTGCAGCAACTAATGTTTCAATAAAAAACATGTCTTCATCAGAGTAAAAGAAAGGGATGAAGCTTTTTGTTAAAACGTTAATTGCTGGACTTAATTAAAAGCTTTAATAATAGATGTTTGGCCATTTAGGGGCAGCAGAACAAGCTGCTATGGTGATCATTTTAGTTAACAGTTGCCTATTTACAGCTTCAGGAGATACGGAGCAACATTAGCATTTATTTGTGCCCACCTGATGAATGTAAGTCAAATATTCACTCTCCTTTACTCCGGTTTGGTCTCCACTCCTGTTGTTGTGTGGTGCTGAGCAGGCAGTGTACGGTGATTTAAAGCAGCTTGATCACAGCGCTAAGACAACTAAGTTGTGTGTGGTAATACCAAAACAATGAGCTGGAAGAGGCTAAAATGAATGTGTTCATTACTATGAGTGACACCTTTCACATTATAGTCGCGCGATCCATTGTCAATGCATACATATTAGATGCAGCTTTAACTCTAGACCTCATCCTGTCCAGATCCTTTAAACTACTCCAGACAGAAAATTAATCATGCTTTTTTTTTTCTGGATAGTAGTGTTTTTTTTCTGCTCCAGGCATTGCAGCTATACCTTCCTGGTAGGGCTGTAAAGATTTACCGATATTAGTCGGAAATTGGTTTTAACGTTATGGATTCAACTACATCAGTATACGGGCCCCTGTATCATTCTAAATGTACCATGAACCGGTTGATGGTGATGAATCTGTTGACTGAAGCTTTGCTGCTAACAGCGTCTCCACTCTTGTGAGAAGTAAAAGCTCAATGGGACGGTTTCGAGAGTAACAAGAGTAACATTAGCACAGCGTGATTCGCGAAATTGGTATATAAAAACAAGTGTGACATTTTATAAAATATATGTATTTAAAGGTAAGCAATGTCACTTTTATAGAATTGGCTTATTTGAATGTAGAATGTCTACATTAAATACATTTTTAGAACTGTATCAGACTGTATTGAATTGTTCCATATTGACATGTAGCTCAATCACCCTACTCAATCATCCTCCACTCTCTGGTAATGGAGTCTGATTCTGAAAAGCTGAAATAATTTAAATCCTACTTTTAAAGGGATTTTCGATGCAGAGTAGGTATCCTCGTGTGTTTGCCTGGGAGGGGAAGTAGGTCATGTAGCAAAGCCCTAACCCACTTAACTCAGCTGGGTTAAGAATGCAGGGAGCTGCTGTTGTTTTTATCCTTACTTTACTTCTATAGCACCACACTGGTGGAGCTTGCGCCTACGCAAGGACAAACAGCCCATATGCATGAATACAATGACTGTCAAACTGGAACATATCCTGCTGAAGGAGCTGTACACAAGTGGAAGAACATTTATAGGCATAAAATCCTAAACTGTAGCTTATTGCAAATATATCCTGAATGATCTATGGACTGAAATAACTCAGGGATGTTCAGGGACGACTCTGGCCCAACGTAAAAACAATTGACTTCCTTATTCCACCAGGAGCCCTTTTACAGGTTTATTAAAAACTTTTAGGTTCATAGTGGGTTAAACACAAATGCTATCCACCCCATACGGAACCTGGGCTGTTAAATCAGCTAGCAGATCTATTACGCTACGTTCTATTACACAGAAACATTTTGGCTGGAAGTCTGGCTGGGATTGGAGACTGGAGATCCTGTAGGAGCTGGGGGAAGCCCAGCTTTTAAACCGAAAGCTTGGAGGCTGGAACCAATCGGCTCCCTGAAGCAACCTGCAATTAGTCAAACTCACCTCCAGTCCACCACACACAGCACAGCAGAGAGAGAGAGAGATCCACAACACATGCACAGAGGAGATTAAAACACATACACAAACACATAGAAAATGTTCATACAACCTCACGGTGGTAACACTGTGCCATTTTCTGCCCCTTGATCAGGATTTAACTATTCTTTATATTGCATCCATCCATCCATTTTCTTCCGCTTCCGGGGTTGGCTCGCGATTACAGCAAGCTAAGTACGGTATGCCAGACATCCCTCTCCCCAGCAACAGTTTCCAGTTCCTCTTGGGAAATCCCGAGGCATTCCTACGCCAGATAAGATATGTAATCCTTCCAGGGAGTTCTGGGTCTACCCCAGGGTCTCCCCCTTTTGATGCGAAGGAGCAGTGGCTCTGCTTCAAACTCCCTCCGGATGTCCAAGATCTTCACCCCATCTCCAAGCCTGATCTGAGCTACCCTACAGATGAAACTTATTTCGGCCTCTTGTATCCACAATCTCATTCTTTCAGTCGCTACCCAAAGCTCGTGATTTTGTATAACATATCAAATTGCTCCCATTGGTTAGACCAGTACCTTCCATGTCAGCTCACTGGCAGCAGGTCTGTGAATGTGAGACACTTTGTGAAGTGCTTTTGGAAAAAGCGATGCAGTCTGTTTACCATGAAGAGAGGCATGTCGGTGTGGATCTGTTGTGGTAGGTTTGGACAGGATGTAAAAATTTTATCCTCATCACTTTCCTCCAGCTAGGTGAGGATTGACACTGAGCTGTGTCTGCGTCTAACAGTAAGTTAATGCTGAGGCAAAATCTGCTAGAATTCTACAGAATATGTTCTATTGTATTGCATATAGCTGAGATATAAGTGTTATGGTGCTTAGTGGAATTGTTTTTAAAACTAAAAGGTATGACAGCCATCCATAAGAAAAGACAACACCCATCAAAGGGTCACACACAATTTGACATACCACCGTTGTCTCGGGAGCATTAAAACGAGCAAAGGAGGAGATGCACACCAATAGGGTCTTTAGCTCATTAAAAGGGCAAATGTGAGCATTTTTTTTATAAACACGGGACACAGCATATTGTTGAATTATGCACAATAATTCTAAAGAATATTCTCAAATATTCCACCAATGTGATGGAGAAAAACAGAACGGTAGTAAACTTCTGCATCAACTACATGAACCCCTGATATATGAAGATTAAATATAGTGCACTAAAAGCAGTGAAAGACATAGCATGTGAGGAGAGAGGTGGAGGAAAGGCTGTGTGTGTGTGTGTGTGTGTGTGTGTGTGTGTGTGTGTGTGTGTGTGTGTGTGTGTGTGTGTGTGTGTGTGTGTGTGTGTGTGTGTGTGTGTGTGTGTGTGTGTGTGTGTGTGTGGACCCACAGCATTAAAAGCAGCACACAGGTGAGGAGCAAAGCAGCTTATAGTCGTCGGACTTGAGCACATGTAAGTATACATACAGTTCCAATACATAAAGACCCCCTTACAGTACATCTGAAGCCTCCGCAGCAGCAGGGGGAGTGTCTGCTGTGCACGCTGTAGCAAACGCTCCCGCTGGCGTACGCTGAGGACAGCACATGCTAATCTCTGTGTTAATACAGCTGAAAGCTGTGCCACCTCAGCGTGTGTTCATAGTGAACATCGTGTCCGTCACAGTCAATTTTGTCCGTGGAGTGGGCTTTAAAGAAGCACTTTTCAGCTCTCTGATGTCCAGAAATGGCACTGTGTAAATCAATAAACATGAAACATCATCTGGGGTATTAAAAAACAGTTTAAGAAGCAACTTTGCCTTTTCATCACATTGAATTTTATCATCTCTACAAGGTCTTAAAGTGTTGGAACTTTTAATCCTTGGGAAGCAAACATGCCCTTGATGCACCACAAACAGGAAATAATGACTTGGAAAACAGAATGTGGATGAGAGAGAGCGAGAGAGAGAGAGAGACGTGTCTTTTATATTTGCTCCAGCTGCTTATGCGTTAGAATTATGTTTTTCTTATCTGATGATAGGCGGGGGGAGGAGAGTGCTTTGAGGCTGAACAAAAGAACAAGAGACTGTTTTCCTCAGAGAAGAGTAAGAAGGGAGGGAGGACTGAGTCAGGGAACTTTATAACCTTATTCTTACAACAGGCGATAATTAACATGCGCCACTTTCCTCCAGACCCAATTAGTGTTACCATTTTGTCTCTGTGGTAACAAGCCAACAGCAGCCTTAAGCTGAAGAAGCTCTGATCTAATGGGTAGATAAAGCAGACTTCACCAGCTAGGCTTCAGTCCCCTCTGTGCATTCAAGTACAGAGTGTGGAAGACTGTCACAAAGATACAGGCTGTCTGGTTTAAGTGTGTTCTTTCACTGTGAGAAGGGATATGTTAGTAAAATGGATAGGGAAACCTTTTAACCAGGATTTTGGAGCCCCCTGTGACTTTTCTCTTTGTCTTAATCAACACCAGTAATGTGTCACCACATCTACATTGAACAAAATTATAAATGCTTTTGTTTTTGCCCCCATTCATCATGAGCTGAACTCAAAGATCTAGGACTTTCTCTATGTACACAAAAGGCCTATTTCTCTCAAATATTGTTTTCTTTGAGTTCAGCTCATGATGAATGGGGGCAAAAACAAAAGGTTAATTGTAGTGTAATTTTGTTCATAGATAATAACATGTAACACATGTTTCATACAGCAAAACAACTCAATAGGTATGCTGAGCAATATGACCAAAATGTAAACCTGGCCCTACACTGTGTTCAAAACAGGCAGTTTGCAGAAAGCTTTTCCACCAAACCCAACGTTTACCCTCATTTTGAAACCTGTGTACATCACTCAGCATTCAGCTGAATGCTGTCGCCACCCTAGATGCAGGAACGGGTTTTAGCAGGAGGGGCTGCATTCTATGCAGCCCCTCCTGTCGTAGTAGCTGACAAGGAAAAGCAGTTTTCTGTATATAGCACATTTCATACCCAAGGCAACCAAAAGTGCTTTACAGAGTTTATGAGCAAAAGCACAAACAAAACAAGAAACGCGTGATAAAAAGAGCATGCAAGCAAACACACATAGGATAAAAACAACTAAATTAGACAAGCAACAAAAAAACAATACCACAGGGTAAAAAAACCCAATTAAAAGCACCTAGAGTAAAACAATAAAACAAACAAATACGTTTGAATGAAAAGCAATTGTAACAGGTAGGTCTTAAACTTGGATTGGAGAGTAGTCAGCGCTGTTTCAAGTCTTAGCTCTTCTGGCAGTTTGTTCCACATTTGAGCAGCACAAAAACTAAAGGCAGCTTCTCCACACTTAGTTTGGACTCTGGGAACCGCCAGTAATCCAGAACCAGATGACCTGAGAGGTCTGCAGGGTTCATACTGAATCAGGACGTCTGATAAATATCTTGCACCTAAATGGTTCAGATAGATTCTAAAGGGCTAACAGTCCCACCATAGATCCCTACAGAGAGCACCACCGTGCCACTAGATGGATGGATTATACATGATCAGGCCATACTGTGCTTAGTATTGTAATGATTAATAATTATTCCCCACAGTAACTGTTCACATTGTTTCATTAACTCTGTGATTTGCAGCAATAAGGGGCTGCACATGTACTGGAGGTGGAGTTACAGGTCACTTCTTAGTTCAGTTAAAGATTTGTCGTCACAGATTTTTGGGGTGCTGGACCAAAATGTTTTTGATGAATGTATAGCTTTCCCCAGACAAATGTGCTGTTACAGCCCTCTTCCTGAGGTCCTCTCAGATTTCTTTTCCTCCCAACTAGGGCAACATGATATCGGAAAAAACATCCCATTGCAATTGTTTTGACAGATATTGCAATATTATTATTGGGGCAGCTGTGGCTCAGGGGCAGAGCGGGTCGTCTACTAATCGGAAGGTTGTTGGTTCGATCCCCAGCTCCTCCCACCAATTAATTGGGAATGATAATTTTTGCCTCACAAATTAAGTTTTGACTGAAAAAAAAAAACCAAGAAGATGTGTACACTAGGGCATCTCTGCAGCATTACAGTACTTCATTATGATGCTGTTTGTATTGTGATTATGGTTTTAAGTATGGTTCACAGACTTTCAAGCATATCAGTTCTGTATCTGTTTATCTCTATATCAGTTACACATGAAGCCACTGTAGCTACACTGTAGCCTTAACCCCCCCTTAAATATGTACGGTAAGGTTTCTTACTTGAAAATGAACTGAAACATCTAAAAATAAATATTGGACTGGGGACATAAACATGGCTAGGACATCCCTTAGTGAAAGCCTGATAGAAATGCCTGGAGAGCTGACTTCTATGACCCTCACATTCCTCTTCTGTCAGCACTATACTGACAAATGACCTTCCCCTCACTCCCCTCAGACCACAATATTTAAAATCCCATCTGCACCTGGTTATTATTATTCATTTATGTACTGTAATTAGCATTTGTTCCATTAGCAGATTTTTGCTGTGGCGCCTGAAATAGAAATATGGGTATGTAATATAGTGGTGAGTGAACTAACTGAGCTCTTAGTTAATGGCTAAAGACAGGAGGAGTGAAAGGGCCCCTGGATAGTAAGTGGACCATTATATTAATATTTTTCTCAAAACTCTCAAATCCAAATGTTCTTTTAAACACAGTTATCAAAAGAAGAAAGTAATTATCCTCTCCAGTCACTGACATTGAGCTCTTCCACTGACTGTGAAATTACTGAAAGACATGAAAAAGTAATGTTTCTTCTTTTCCCGACAGGAATTAAAGTGATTGGTGGTGTGAAGGAGCAAACTGGAGAGGAGTTCGGAGTCTACGTCAAACGGATTTTACCAGGTGGCCTTGCTTCAAATGATGGTGAGTACTGTGTCCTCTTATAGCTATGGCCCAAGCTTACTCCTGTTACTTCAATTCACACAGTAGACAATACACAGGGGCAGTAAAAATGGATAAAGAGAGACAATCCATAAAAGGAACTATATGGAGAAGCTGTAGATCATCAGCTCAGGGTGCTGTGTCCTATATTATCTCCCTTCAGCTCAAACATCTGGTTAAAGTAGATGAGATTGGGCATTTAAGGTGCCATGGATCTATTAAAATGTAGTCATTATAATGTTGTCTCTGATGATCTTGCTGTAGTTTGTTACAGCTTTATTGCCATCAGAATGTGAACACATCACAGGTCTCTTCTCCAGTACCCTCGCTTTATTCTCCAAACACTCCCCACTATCACGCCTTGATGAAGGCTATTCTCAATTCATTAATTTACTTAATTCACTGCTGAACTCACAAACTTTAATCTACTCACCTTGATTTCTCCTTCAGTACTCTTTTCCACACACACACACACACACACACACACACACACACTCACACTCACACTCACCCTCTGGTCTGTGTCTCTCTCACAATCACACTGTCTTGCCCCACCCTGCCTGTTTCTCTGTCCCTGTAGCCGATGTGTCTCTGTTGACTTTCGTCAGCACTATTTAGTATAAAGTCGCCCAAAGAACACAACTCTGGTTTGGGATTTTTTCACTTACGATTCCTTTTTAATTAGGGACGCACAATAATTATCAGGACAGATATTTCCTGATTATTGATCGGTTGATATTCATAATAATTTATTTTCTAATAATAATTCTTATGCAAAACCATTGATAGACTATCTTCTATGAAAGCCAAAGTATATTTCTGAAGTTTTCTTACGAATTTTTTTTTTTTTTTCAACAAGTGTGTTAATTTTCAGAGAAAACTATCACACTACAATAAATAATACAGGCGCAAATCAGAACTGTCACAGTAAGGCTCATCTTCAATAAAATAAACATAAACATGACAGGGCTGTAGCAGGTGATCCTTAAGAGTCACCGGTGGTCCAAAAGTTAACTTATCCCGAGGTTATCCCGAAGAGAAAAGCACTTCAAATAAAACTAAGCAAAGACAAACAGACGTATACTAAATACATAGCAATACTCATTTGTTGATGGTTGACATACACAGAGAGCATGCCTCCAATGCTTTCCTCCCCTCTAAGAACACCATAAAAGATCTCCACATATTGTCAAAGACGAGATATTTACCCTTTAACGTAAGTGAAAGGGTAGACATCTGACAGTCTTGCAAGCCAGACACTAACACTTGGTTTGATAGTGGATTTCCAAGATTTGGCTATGGTATATTTAGCTTGTAAGATTCAGAAAGTAATAATAGATTTATTTGCCTTGCTGAATTTATGATTTACGGGAAAAATGCTAAAGACACACAGTTTGGCGTCTATTAATAGCTTTATACCTGTGACATGTAAAATCATATCCATCACTTATCTCCAAAAAGCCTGGATTTGTGGGCAGTCCCATAGGCAGTGATATAATGTGCCCTTGCTAACACATTTGTAGCACGTGTCGGGATTATTGGGGTCAAATTTATTTAGCTGAGTTGGTGTTACATATGTTTTCATTATCCACTTATACTGAAGTAATTTAAAATGGGTATTTATTGTTTGTGTTTGAGATTTTAAGCAAATCGTCTGCCAGTCCTCAGTTGAGATTGCAGAGTTCAAATCCTCGCACCATGCCAATCTTTTACTCTCTGAGGAAACCTTTGATCCATCCATGATTATTGCATAAAAACTAGACATCAATTCCCTCTTAGGGTGTTGATTTGTTGCTATTTCTTCTATACAGCTAAGAGTAGGTAGAGATAAAGATTTCTGTATCTTAAATATATAGCTTCTTATCTGCAGGTATTTAAAAAAATGTTTTTGTTGGATGTCATACTTTTGTCTCAAATCTTCAAAGACATGAGAATGTTATTGTTAGATAAATCTGCAATTTTACTTAGGCCTTTGTTTGCCCAAATTTCGAAGCCCAAATCTTGTTTGCCAGGTGTAAAAGCACTGTTACCCCAGATTGGCGTAAATTGAGATAACACAGGTTTCTCACCAGTATGTTTATGAACCTCATACCATACCATAATCGAGTTTTTAACAAAGGGATTATGTGTTAATGTATTTGATTCTTTTAATTTAGCTGAATATAAATATGAATTGAGTGGTAGAGGGGATGTCATGTTTCTTTCCAAATTCATCCAGGAACGTGGCATTTCTTGTGAGAACCAACTAGAGGCAGTAGTAAGTTGGGCAGCCCAATAATACCATTGGAGGTTTGGGAGTTTCAAGCCTCCTCTATCATAGGGGAGATAAAGCAAAGATAAGCGATGTCTAGCCTGTCTGTTGTTCCAAATGAAATTACAGAACATGCTTTTCATCTTTGAAAAAAGTGAATAGGAGGACCAAGAGGAATGGAATGAAAGAGGTAAAGAAATTTCAGAAGAACATTCATTTTAAGTATATTGATACGCCCTATCATGGAAATTGGTAACATGGACCATCTATTAATAGATTCAGAAACCGACTCTATTACTGGATTATAATTTGCCTCTAGTAAATCGTCAATTTTAGGGGTAATTCTAATACCAAGATTAATGAAGCTATCTCTAACTATTTTGAATGGTGTTTGAACTGGGGGATTTACTCTTTCAGAATGCTTAAGGAAAAGAATAGATTTGTATTCATTAATTTTGTAACAGGAAAGCTTACTAAAAGAAGTAATGGTATTAAACAAGTGATGTAGTGACTGTTCTAAATGGGCTAAAAAAATCACAATATCATCGGCGAATAAGCCTATTTTGTTGTCAATCTCATTTATTTTAATGCCGGTAATATTCTGATTACTCCTAATGGCAATAGTCAAGGGCTCAATTGCCATCACAAACAGAAGAGGTGAAAGGGGACATCCTTGGCGTGTGCCTCTCGAAAGCTCGAAAGGTTTGGATATAATATCGTTAATTAATACTGATGCGACCGAGTTATTATACAAAACTTTAATCCAATTAGAAAAATAATTACCAAAGCCAAAACGTGCAAGTACTTTGTGGAGATATCGATGCTCAACTCGATCAAACGCTTTCTCTGCGTCCAACGAGAGCACTGCTGTATCTGGATGTTCTGTCTTCGCATAAATAATATTAAGAACCCTGCGGACACAGTGGAAAGCTTGACGTCCCCTAACAAATCCATTTTGGTCTGGATCAGAAAGAGAAGGCAGGTATCTTTCAAGCCTTCATGCCAATATTTTAGCAATTATTTTAGCATCAGAATTAATCAGTGAAATTGGTCGATAGGAATCACATTTTCTTGCTGATTTTCCGGGTTTCAGTATCAGAATTATAAGTGCATTACGCAAGGATGGTGGAAGTTTTCCAGAATTAAAGCTTTCTACAAACATATCTAACAGTGGTGATAAAAGCTTGTTCTTAAAATTTGTGATGATTTATCTCCTTTAGCAGTCACAATCTCTGTGATAGTTCGTTCATTTTGTTGTGATTTAAGCGCCATGCAAGTAATTTCCCTGCCTTCTCTCCCTGATCATAATAGGTCTGCTTTAGTCTAATTAAGCCTGCCAAGGCTTTATTGGTAGATAACCTGTTATACTTTGCTTTTAGAATTGCTAATTTTCATTGTTTTTCTCTATTGTTATCACCAGTTATTTCTAATTCAAGTTCCTTTATATCCCTTTCCAGCTTCAATATCTCTAAATATTGTATATTTGATTTATTTCTTGTATATCCCATCATTTGGCCCCTAATAAAAGCTTTGAAAGCTTCCAGATGGCAGATGTTTCTGTTGTGTTCAACTGAAAATCATCAATATTTTGCCCGAAGTAGTCAAGGAATTTGGGATTTTGTTACCACTGTGGCTTTAGGCGCCAAAGGGTTTTTCCTTTGACAGCAGTTGAAGCTGAGTAATTAAGCAGAAGTAAAGCATGGTCAGAAATAAGAATACTCTTGTAAATTCAACCATTAACATTAGGAGCAAGCGATTTCGACACAAGAAAGTAATCAATGCGACTATAAGTATTATGTGTAGCTGAATGACAAGAGTACTCTTTCTTTGCAGGGTTTTCTACTCTCCAAATATCAATTAGGTTAAGCTCCTGCATAAACTGGTAAATTATACTCCTGCCCCTTGCATGAGTTAGATCTATGCCTGAAGAGTGGTCAAGTTTTGAAAATAAAGCTAAAGTTTGGGCCCTTTTAAAAGAGGTCAAACAAACAGACTGAACTTAAGCTCTGAACATAACAAACTCAAAAATACAACTGACCTACCATAAGACAAACAAAGGGGACTTACATACTGGCTGATCAGACCAGGTTTGACACACAGGGAGAGACTAACAACAACACTAGTACATAAACTACAAATAACAAAACAAAAACAACCAAACACTTATTCCAACAGAAATGTAGTGTCCAATTTGGCCACCTCCCCTATAAAGCTGCTCTTCTTCCAGGCGCCACCCCTTTTAGACTGGAGACTGCATGCATCCCTCTAGAATCCGCAACACTGGTAAGCTCAAAAAGAAAACCGTTATAGCAAAAAAAGACAATCCAAAAACTACTAAATAAAGTATATATGTAAAACAAAGCAAGGGTCCTGTATGTTATTTAAAATTAAATAAATGTTTGCAACCGCTTTTAAGATGGCTGTGTGGCCATGGCTGTGGCCATCACAATATAACAGTTTCAAAGTCATTTCGATGGTTAACGAACTCGTGGTATAGTGAATCATCCCGATGGCAAAGCAGGAGAGTTGGCAGAACCAGCAATGCAAGTCTGAAAGGTGGCGTCCCTCCAAATCTTGCGAGATTCACAAATTGCTTCACGGCGCGACGTCACATACATCAGCGACAGCAGCAAAGCAGCCTCAATGGAAGACACTAGCAGGCATTCACTCAGACGTTACCTGGTCAGTAGTCAGGTGCAGAAGTATTGAATCAGTACTGTAATAATACCAG